ATGTGTAGAAACATAATTGTATGAACAGGGAAACATGGGTAGAAATGTAAACACATGAATAGGGGAACATGGTTTTTGCAAAAATTTAAAAATGAGGATCATTTATCTACATATTGGTAACACCACGTATCAGACTACCAGCAACTCTTGTTTTATACTCTATTTTTTTATATTGATAGATTGCTGTCAAAAACTTAATTTTAAATATGAATTATAAAATATTTATTAAAAGACAAAAACACCCTTCTACTTTTCATGTCCATCTCTCAATCTCTCGCCATCTCCATCTCCATCTATCTTCATAAATCCGGATCCGGATTGCCTTAGTATCTCTTTTCTCAGCATCCCTCAGAATCCCAAAATCCTGTCCATCCGTATGATAAAAAAACTCACATTGCACCATGTCGTAAGTACGACTAACAATACCATTCGGCCTTCTCCTCTCTCCTCTTCCGACACCCAACCATTGGTTAGCAACAACCATCTCCTCCATGGCCATGCCTGCCTTGGCTATTCTTCCTCGATCTCCCACCTTTATCTGTCATTTGTAATCATCCTCTTCCTCCTCCTCTTCCTATGTCGGAAATTTAATCCCCTACAACGCATGGCATTCTAATCTTCTCTGTGGCGACATTACCAGAGCCACTGAAAGCAAAGTGTTGCTCTAAATTCGACCATGGATCAAGTTTGTGGTTGACTCTCCTCCGCCTTCGCCACGGTCTACTAGAAATGGAAGCCTGCCCACAGATCTCAATGGATAAAACTAAAGTCACCATGCTTCCAAATAGAGACACCAAGACAAGAGATCAATCAACTAAAAGAGTTTCTTCATGGGCGCGTGTGTATATACACACAGATCCAGAGAGAGCTCCATTTTTGTTAGAGATTTCCACCATTTTGGCTTTATTTATCATTTAGATTAGTTTTCACTTTTAGACCTTAAATTGTGAAGAACCTATTTTTACCAGTGAAAAATTTGCGAAGTATCTTTGCACGGTCAAAGATATTCAGCTTGTTTGGTTGAGTGAACAAGAGTGCAAAAAATAGCTTAAAAGTTTGACTAAGTCATATTGTAAATTTGGAAACTATGAGTAAAAAAAAATTATTACCTCCAATTCTAATTATAAGAGCTAGTTAACTAATTTAAGAAGATTAACAAAAGAAGTTAAGTTAGTTAGTTGTAATAAATAGGTATTGTCTTTCCTAAAATATTCTTACTAATCAAGTGTATTATCTAGAATTACTATTGTTAACAAGACTATCTTGAAAAAATGCATAAATATAAAAGACAAAATAGATTAAGATCTTATATTAAAGATCAAATAAAAGTCAAATAAGGTCTTATATTAAGGATCAGAAGTAGTACTTTTTTAAGCTTGATTACAAAAGTATCTGAAATTTAATTATGACTTATGTCAAAACAACTTTTTAAATAAAAATCATTTTTGTCTGTATATTTATATTCTTATGTTTCTATCTTCATATTTCTAGTATTTCATAATCAATTTTTAGTTATTTATTTTTAATACTTTCTTGAGTAAAAATAATTTTTAACATAATTTTTATAATATTTTTAATTTTTAATATTATTTTTTATTATATATATAAATTGTGCAGAGTATATCATCCAATTATTATGTAATATTATTTAGTTCAAATTTTCACAGTTTTGTGATTTCTAATTTAAATATATTTTTATTCATTAAATATAACTTCTTTCAATTATAATAATTTAAAATTATTGTATTTTATAAATTCATATTTTTAATCATTTTTTATTGTTCAATAAAAGTTATACTTTAATCATTCTATAAACTAAACTTATTTATCCAACTATAATCCAAATAATTTCTTTACTTTACAAACTAATTTTTATAAAAGTTAATCATATTACCTAATCTAATTTTTGTTTAATCTCATTTTTTCAAAATCAGATTAAAATCCAAACGAATCTATTAAGGTGACGTCTTAAGGTATGTTTGGATCACCGTTTGGAGGAGGAAAAGTGCTTAGGAACATGTGAAATGGTGGTTTGAAGCTTTTTTGAAGTAAACACATGTTTGGATTGTTGTTGAGTGCAAATGAACTTATGTCATAAATTGACTTTTTTTCCAACGCTCCAGAAAGTAACTTTTGCCTTCCGCAACGCAACTGATGGGGTCCACATGGGTGAATGACAAAGTGCTTTTACTTTTTTGCCCTAGAGAGATAATGGTTTTATACAAGATTCAATAGATTAATTTAAAAAATTAAAAAAGCTGAATAAATTATTTATTTATATTTTATGTTACATGATTTCTCTAAAATACTTATGTGTATTATTAGACTACATATTAGTTTATAAGTCAAGGAAATTAATTTGAAGAAAAATAAATATAAATATGTCAAAATAATTTATTTAAATTTCCTAATGTTCTCAAATTAATTATATGTATTTAATTATATTCTATGTATGTTCAAAATTTTCTCACCAACAGATATTTTTATTATACAATTATAATAATTTTTTTTAACAATTATCATACTAATATCATATAATATAAACATTAATATTCAATAAAGTTCATGTCTTTTTCAGTCATTTTATATCTAAACTTATTTTTTTATTAATCATCCAAACAACTTTTAACTTTTCCAACTAACTTTTTATAAGCACCTATCCAAACATAAATAGCATTACACTAACTGATTTTTTATTCTAATTTTAGTTACAAAAATTAGTTAGACTAAAGTTAGTTTTGCCCAACACTAATTCAAACGTACTCTTAGAGGTTGGGACTTGAGAGTCGAAAGCGGCGAGGAGAGCAGAAGGTTGAAGACACTACTATTAAGGTGTACTTCAACCTTATTCATTTTTAAGAGTTTCATGATGTGGCGCAGTGTGAGGTTTTGGATCATATGCATGGACAGGATTTTGGGATTCTGGGATTCTGAGGGACAAGGTGGAAAAAGATTATGAGACGATTTGGATGGGAAGAAAAGTAGAAAGAAAAGAAAACGAGAGGAGAGAAAATAGAGAGAAGAAAAAATTAGAGAGAAGTTGTCATCATCTTTCTTGTTTGGATAAATGAGAAAAAATAGAAAGGAGGAAAAAATAGCAAACATTTAAATGCCTAAAATGTGCTTATCAAAATATATTATATTTAAAATTAAATTAAATTAAATATTACAATAGAAAAATCATACTAATATTAGCATTATCAAATAATTTAAAATCAAGTTATTTGATTTATATATTTTTTCAGATTATTATGTTTTAAAGCCAAATTATTTAATAAAAACATTGTTTTAAGATAAAAAATAAAAAGTAAATAACTTTTGAATATAATAAAAGAAAATAAATATGGAGAGGAAGATAAAGGAGGGACAAATCATGGAAATCTTGTTTTCCTTCTCAAATCTCTCCATATATAAAGAGAAAATTATAAAAAAAAGATATGTGACCCACTTTATTTTTTCCTTCGCTTTTTCTTCCTTCTATATTTTCTCAACTATCTAAACAAGAAAAAACTTATTTCTTCCCATATTTTCAAGAAACAAAAAACTGGACTGGGAGCTAAACCGGTCGATGCAGTGGGTCAAGGGTCACTGGTTGAACTAGAGGTTAGACCGGGGTCGGACCAGTCATATTAAAATAATATAATTTAATTCACAATATTAAAATAGAACCAAATTTATAAATAATAATCACTTAAAAAAAAGATTGAAAGTTACAAAAGTAGTTTGAATGTTTAATTGTACTAAGAAAATATTAATAAAATTCACATCTTCATCACTATGCAAAATCAAAATCATCATTAAGATCATTGGTAAGAGCATGGATTGAGATATCATCAGTTGGGCGAGGAAAAATAGGAGTAACAATATCATCTTGCAAAGGTGGAGGATTAGCAATATCCATATCTTCATCACCTATATAAGACAATAATCAATATTAATGATTATACAAATAATTATATATTCATCTAAGAATACTAATAGAATCTTAATTATATATATAAACTTTCATTATCCCTCTCAAAAATTGTTGAATTTGCAGTACCTTCATTGTTAAATGATGTTCCAAGTAAACAAATCATTGAAATCAATCAATATGACTGTTTTTATTTTTTTCCCGGATCTTACATCTATATTATACACAATATTGTTCTACATTAGAAAAAGGAAATAAATCTCATTTTATCTAAGCCTAGCTACTTTACAAGTTATTAGTGTTGAGCTTGAGAATTCAGATGAATAAAAAAATAGAAGAAGAACACACAACGCATGACCAGCGAACCGAAAAACCGTAAGAGTAGAGCACATTTATGATTTAACTATCTAAGCCTAGCTGAATGAAAATTACTAACAAGACAACAAGAGGCAAGAGCACAGAAGCGACCACCTACAACTCTGACAATGATTCTACCACTGTGAAGAAGTAACAATGATGGGAGGCGACCACTTGCGGCTGCGACGTAGATTTGCGCTTGAACCACGATCACCGGCTGCTTCAACGTTCAACCTCGACGACTTGGCGCGAAGATTCGGGACCTCCGATGGCGAAGAAAACTTCGGCATAATGAGGTTGATTCAGCTAGGGATTTTCGATTTGGGGGAGGGTGGCAACGGCAAGAAGTGAAAGGCAAAGATTTTTCTCGAACTGAAGCAGGGGCCGAGCTCATTCAATTTGGACCGGACTGTCTTTTTTTTTTTTTTAATTTTCCAATGCCAAATGACTTCGTTTTCCATGGATTGAAGGATAAAAAAATAAAATATTCAAAACCGGACAACCCATCAACTATAGACCGGTTTTTTTGGCCTCCCAGACTGGACCACCCACTGGTTCACCAGTTTTCCGGTCCCGGTCTGGTCCGGTCTTTTTCCCTTGCATATTTTCCTCTTTAGTTTTCTTTCCTCCCCAATTTTCTCTCGAACCGCAACAGCCATCTCTCCTGGTGGATCCCTCCTAAATTTCCTGACCTCATCGTCTTTAGCATCATCGTGGGTGAAAGCGACAGAACGCCATTGACAGAACGAGACGACTCGACCAGATCTGAGAGGAAAGAGAGGCTTATTCTTCTTCTTCAACCTTCAACAGTGAGAGCTGGAACAAGAGCCATTTTCTACTGCAAGAAAAATGCCAGCCCAAGAGGTAATCTTTGCATTGTAATTCCGTAGAGGATTTTGAATATTCCCCGATTTATTCAACAACAAATTCGCATTATATTGTGTTCAAACACGCTACGCAGAGATTAATATAATGGGGTTTTAAGTCAATCATTTGGGAGACGTTAGAGTCACCATGGGAGATTAATGTGCAGTTTGAGAAGATGGGTCTTCAGAGATTCCCTTGTTTTGTGGTTCCGGTTTTTCTTTCGAGTGTAGCTGTGCTTTGTTATGGTAGCAGAACCAGTTCATTAATGAGAAAGATTGTGAATACTGTGGATATATATGCCACTTGATAACGATGTATTCGCAATCCTACCTGGTTATAATGCTCCTCAACAAGTTCCGTAAAATCTGTGTAAAATGATTTAAAATTCAGTTCTCTAGCCTTTGGCCTCATTCCTCGCCATTTTTATGGATGTATGGATTTCCTTGGTTGAGGTTCATATAACACAAGGTGATTATATGGGGAAGGCAGTGATAGTTTCTTGGGTGATTGAGGATGAACCAGGATTAAGTGTCGTGTGTTACTGGAATGAGAACAGTAAAGAGAATAAGATAGTGACTGAGAGCAAATTTGTTACCTTTTTTTTGGCAAGAGAATTTGTTACCTTTTTTTTTTTGGTCAAGAGAATTTGTTACTTATAGATTTTACAATTGCTCATCTGGATTTATTCATCACTGCACTATAAAATATTTGGAGGTAGGAATTGATCCATTGCCCCATGTTATGATTGTTGTTATTTTTCTGATGCTAATCGAAAGGGGTTTGTTTCAGTGAACGAGTTATTTATTACTGTGATAAAAAGTTTAATAATTTGTGAGGCTACTTCTCTGAATTTTTAGTCCATAGTTATTATTTAAAAGGAAAACCCATAGTTTTGTGGTCTTAGTAATCTGATAGTGTGGGGGCCATTTTGGCATATTAACTTATGAATAAAATACTTGGCCTAAGTAATCTGATTTTAAGTTGGTTCTAAATTTATGTAGAAGATTGAAAGCATGGTAGGATCTTCTCTTGAGCACGTCCTTTCATTTTTCATTGACGATGTTATGACGCTTAAACTTGATTGACGAAACACTTATAGATGTGAAAAACGAAGTTGTACTTGTGCAATATGTTTCTGTTACTTCTAGATACCATATGAGACCTAAATCAGCAACTAACAATCCCCTAATGAGAGATGTAAAACCATTGACACATTACATGGACAACAAATCCAACCTAATCCATACAACAGCAACTAAATAATGTACCCATCTTTAAAAGAGAACAGAACAGGAAAACTTATAAATGAGTCAAATAAAGTTAGAAACATCTAGTATTGAATCTATATGAGCATTGCTTATTTTAGACAACTTCTTCAAAGGGCAAACCAGCTACCCAAGTCACCAGATTTATGTCATAGTTCCATTTCTTGTTCTTCAACTTGAATGCTATATATGCCACAAATGTAATCTGACCTTAAAACACCACCCATACATATAACTTCATACTAAAAACAAGATAAAATTGTGTCAGAGAGTCCATACATTGAAATTCATTAATAATAAATCAAGTGGCTAAGACAGGAATCGAAGAACTATTATAACATTAAATATAATAATTATAACCTGTTATATAATATAATCCTAGCCACATTCAAACAAATAATATTGCAAAATACAGTAATCAAAGACCCTAACAATTGTAGCTGAGATAGGAACAGCAGCCCAGGACTTCAAACATTCGAATGATCTAATTGGGTCCACTAAGATTCCCAGATCTTCGTCGCCCATTACACTATCTGCTACCCTTCAAACCGATTTTTTCAAGTAAGAGATGTTTAGAATTTCAATTGTTTAGGTGTACTAGCAGATCAAAATGAAGCAAGAACAAATGGAGTGGGAAACTACAAAGACAAACGAAGAGGAGAAATTTAAAAGTTATATGTATGGGTGGTGTTTAAAAGTGTGATTGATATGTCTTGTAAATGAGACACAATTTTTAATTAAAGTATTTTCTTTTAATTAAAAGACCTTAATGCTATTAAAAAGACCAGGAACCATAGCCTGAGCACAAAGCCGAGCAATCTCACAGGTGCTGGTTAATTTTTCCAATGATCTTGATTTTATCTATTTGAATTTTCATATAAAATGCATTTTGCTAAGCCAGTGAATAAGTTGATTACCATTCTCTGTGATCATGGTGATTTTTTTCTTGTTTTCTGAGTAATCTATTTTGTTTTCCCTCCTTTTTCTAAAGATTCTAGACATGGGAATGTCTGGAACTGATTAATGTTCATTCTTTCTGGCTTGTCATATGCCATATCTTTCAATTTTTATTTTGTCTGCAAATCAAATGCTCATCCTTTGTTTTATTTTGGTGGAAAGCTTCCCACAAAAGAAAATTTTTTTGTTTTAGAAATGGAGAGAAAATTGTGAACTTAGTTTTCATGTAATTGAGGGAAGAAGATCTGGCAGAAATTGGGAAGAAATCATCAGATCTGGCTGGATAAGATCATCATCAGATCTGTATCTTGTTGCCCTCTAATCTCCATCACCAACTTCTAGCTTGCCATATCCGGTCTGCATTTTTCTTTCAAATGATATCTGCCTCTTGCTGTGAAAGCATTTTGTGGGACTGGGTCCCCATTCAAAGCTTCCTGGTTAGTTTCTATAAATCCCCCTCAATACTTCTCCATATTGGTTTTTTATGGATCCCCTGGGGGAATTATGTCATTCGTAGTTTGACTGAGGATTGTAAACAGCATCTGTTTGCTGATATGAATGCTAGCAAGTCTGTAAACTCTTGCACAATAACAAGTTTTGAGGCTATGATTTTGTTATGGAGTATTCAATTATTTCTCTCTTGATTCTAGCTAGTCTTGCAATTCAATATTCCCTGTTTGATCGCTCTTTTTTTTTTTTTTTGGCAGTTACTGAAATGTTTCTTTGATATCTGAAGAAAAGAGGTGCCTGAGTAATATATCTACTTTTTGAAGAACAATAGATTTGACACACTAGGTGTGAGAATCGCTATATAGAAGCATGAGGTTCCTGATCTTTAGCTTGCTAAGGTTACCTATTGGAGTGCTAATGTTATTACTGTTATGTCTTGGAAACATTGGCAACTCTGTGGCGCATTTGTCATCTTCATCTGAATCCACATTGCATACGAATAATTGGGCTGTTTTAGTCTGCACATCACGATTCTGGTAAGTGCAGCTTCCATTTTTAATTTATAACATAACAAAATTATAGCTATATCCTCTTTTTGTGAGTAATAAAACCCTCTTAAAGAATCATACCAGTGTTTTCTTTTCGTGGTTCCTTTGGATTGTTTATACCACCTTTGGCAACATGAAAATATGATGTTTACTCGAACTGACCTGGTTTCGGACATTGTTTTCCAACTCATTTACTCCAACTCAATCATTTATGTTGTCATTCATGATTGTTTTGTTCATTCGATTTTATTTCAACTAACAGCTTACTATAACATAAATTAATTATTAAATTAATTTAAATATTGTTCGAATCCAGTTTACTATCATTATCACTAAAAAAGTAATCACGTGTTAGAACGCACCATTCCTTTTTGGCTGTATCTCATCTCTACAACATGTCTAGTGAGCTTTAATACCGACTTCCTTTTTATTCCTGAGGACATAAACATTTTCAGCCACCTGTATTTTGATTTAGAGCAAAATTTATTGGTCTAGTGTGTGCATCCTTGAAATTGCTTTTTAGACTAAGTATCAACAATTTGGCCAAAAAAAAAAAAGATTAAGCATCAACAATGCTGTCTAAACATGTTACTAAGTCTTATAAAAGACGTTTTATAGCTATCACAAAGTCTTAGCTTCATGACTTGGTTAACATATTTAATTCGTTGCTTCCCTTATTTAGGTTTAATTATCGACACATGGCCAATACACTTTCCTTATATAGGTAATATCCAATTTAACTTTATTTGCTCCAATTATACTTTGTAATTACCTGTTGTCATTATAATTTCCTTGTTAATCAGGACAGTTAAGCGGTTAGGAATTCCTGACGAGAGGATAATACTCATGCTGGCAGATGACATGGCATGTAATGCTAGAAACAAATACCCTGCCCAGGTTTTCAATAATGAAAATCATAAGCTTAATTTGTATGGGGACAATGTGGAGGTGAGTTTTCTTTATGCCTTTCATTTTCCTTGTTCACTAGATAATATTCTTTGTGTTGGCTTTGGAATTGTCTTGATATGAGTCTAAATTATATTAACAAACCATAAACTCGTGAGCCAGTTTTGGTTGTGGATTTTAAACTTCCGCATATAAGTAATGAAAAGTAGGAATATATATCCACATATATGTAGAGATATGAACGCATATGCACACAAGAACAATATAATGAGATAGAAGAGTACAAAGACTAATGAGAAGGAACTAATCTAACAGCAAAAAAAGTAGTGAAGGAAATTCAATGCTCATAACCATCCCAAACAACTTTTCCTTCTAATGTGTAGCCTTCTCGCTGTCTAGAAAGAGGTTATTGAGAAATTCTGAGCTCTTGTTGCTCATAATGCTAACATCCGAGGTCAAGGCCTTTTGTGGCCTATGCATCTCACTACTTTTTAGTATTAATCCTACTAATACATAGCTTAAGCAGAGGCTACTCTTTTCTTTGATTCACTAGCTATGTTCGTAGAAACTACATGAGAAATTTGAAGCTTTGCTTACTAATTTGGGCACAAAAAGGGGAAACACGTAATAATATTTTAAGTTTACTTATGCGCTTCCTTTCACTATGCAATCAATTAATAAATAATTTTGCGGTGAGTATTAATATTACTGAGAGGCTTCTTTTGTATGATGATTCAAGCTTGTGTCTGCTATATAGCTGAGTTTGCCATTCTGCCCTGAATCTTGCATAAATAGTTTTAAGGTATTGTAGAGAAATTAGAGGAGAGAGGGGAAGAAGAAGTCTGGGTAGAGAAAGAGAGAGAGGAGGGAGAACTTATTCTATTCACTTTGGCCATTCGCCAGTCTGATTACCCAGGCCCCTTATTTATAGGCCTAAGGACTTGGTAACTAATGCTAACTAACTTCCTCCTTTCTATTATATTTACACATCAAATACCTTGGCTGACTTTAGGTACTCTTGCTACTGAAGTCTGTTAGCCATAACACATTTCTCTGATATGTAAATTTTCCATCTCTCTCTGATTGGCTTTAAGCTGATATCAATATTAAATCTTATAATTTCTTAAAAGAGACTTAGGGATATTTGGATGGAAACTAAATCATGATTTTAAAATTGATTTTACGGTATACTAAGTAAATATGTAAGGGGAGTTTTGTTTCGATTTGTGTGAAAACATTTTTGCTTTCTGGGGTTACCAGGCACCCTCTTAATAGAAGACGTGCTGTGGTAACCCAATAAACCTCTTTGTCTAGTCACATTCTCTCACTTTTTTCAGTTGAACACTTGTGTATATGTAGACTTCCATCTGATATGATGCTAAAGAGATATTCATCGCTTCCAACCTGTTTTGGGGCTATAAGCAATGTCTTTTAGAGGATGAACATTTTGCTTCTTAACTTGCAGGTAGATTATCGTGGCTATGAAGTGACAGTGGAAAACTTTTTACGAGTTTTGACGGGTCGTCATGAGGCTGCTGTTCCAAGGTCTAAGCGTCTTCTAAGTGATGAAGGGAGTCATGTACTTTTGTATATGACTGGGCATGGAGGTGATGAATTTTTGAAATTTCAGGACTCTGAAGAGCTCCAGAGTCATGATTTAGCTGATGCTGTAAAGCAAATGAAAGAGAAGCGTAGGTATGAAGTTGTTAGCATCCTGATTTGATTTTCTAAGATGAAGAGGGAATAATTACAGTGAATCTCTTCTGGATCTTTCAAGTGAGAATCTGATAGGAACTGACAGTAGGAACAGTAATAAATCAGATAATGAAACAGTGAATGGGCTCCTGATAGTGAAATAATACTCGAATAGGATTAATCAATAGCAATCTTCCTACTCAGTGGGAGATAGGAAGTTACAAAATGGTTCACACACTCACAGCTCATACAATGGTCCTGACATTCGAGAGGTCAGCTCTCTCCTCACCATGCTCTCATGCAAAAAAAACGTCTTCCCTCCCCCAAGCTACAACGGCTAAAATACTTAAAAGTAAACAGCACAGTCTCCAAAATACAACAACCTAGTACACACACCTAAAGACATTAGAGTGTGCTACTTTCTCCAAAAAGGTAGGAATTAGAAGTCAACTCCCTGGTTGCTTAGAAAGGACTGTTGCCTTTTGCTTGCTTCTGCCTCTGTCGCCTCTTATAGGTATTTTTAAATAGGTTGATCCTATCAGAATCTCACTTGATAAATCTCAATAACCAGGGATAAATTCTATTAAGAATGAGTAAAGTAAGAGTCTCAATCTACACACCCTCAATAGCCGAATCAATGGAGAATTTCCACTTAATTCAAATAGTACTTTATTTCTCTGGTATGTTGGCCATAAAATCTGCCAACACATTTATAATGCAGAAAATATGACTAAATGAGAATGAAAAATAAGTAAATATCCCTAGTATCTTGGAGCTAAGCTAACAGAAAGAGACGGTGGACCTAACAACCTAAAGTTCACTTACTCAGCTGATAAATCATTAATAAAACAAATAAAACTTATGAGACTCATTCAGCTGTCCTTCAAAGATGAAAAAACTGACTCAACCACTACTCCATTCTCCTTATTTCTTCTCTGGTATGTTAATGTGCTGATTTGGAGTCTTATCAGAAATCTTATGCAAATTAATGTTGTGACTTTTAAGTTTGATTTGTGAACTTGATATTTGATAAAGTTTTGGATCAAGGGCTGTAGTTGCATGCTTTCTTGTATGGCTGTTTTCATATGCTAAAGTAATGCTTAGTTTTTTGTATGAAGTTTTTGCTTGGCAAATGTTTTATGAAATAGACCATTTTTCTAACTATGAAGATTTAATCTATATTTTGTGATTAACTTCATATTTGGTAGTTATTGACATCTTGTGACCTCTTTATATAGGGCAAAAAACTCATCTTTTTGCTGGTATGTTGTCTCTTAGGTTTAAGGAGCTATTGATAATGGTGGACACTTGCCAAGCTTCAACTCTCTTCTCACAGGTCTCAAAATGCTTTCCAGAATATGATTTTTAGAAAAATCAAACATGAATTCTCATTAGATGGATTTTTAGAATATTATATGAAGCTTATTCATTCTTTAATTAAAAGGAGATGTTGGCAATCAGTCAATCGAAGTATTAATTGCATGATGTTGCCTTGTTAGATTGTTTTTACATAAGATTACTGCATGCCTTGTGTTTTTACGATAGGTGCCTTTGTCTATTCCAATGGGATTTGTAATCATTGGTAAAAGAACTTTGGATATTAGGAAGCTTAAACTCAGTATTTGTTAATTTGATTGTGATAGGGTGATTGTAGAAAGAAAGGTGAAAGAGAGAAAAACAGAGTGAATACAAGGAGAAACTAGAATTATACTGTATAATTCAAAAGGTCAAAGCATATGAGAATAAGATTGATGATTACCCTATTTATAAGTCATGGGTAATTCTAATCTCAATTAAATATCTAATCCAAACACTACTATTACTGATATAATTAAATCCTATCTAAATCCTCCTAATATGATAATATCCAAATTCTATCTAAATTTATTTAAAATCCAATAAATTCTTATAATTAATGAATCTAATAAAATCTTACCTAAACTTATCAATATCTTCTCTACAAGAGACCTTTGTCCCCAAGGGCAAGTACATAGAAAATGGTACTAAATTAGAGCCAAGAAGCATTTTAAATAATCCATGAACCAATTTTGTACCAGCAACCTTGTATTGAAGCATTGAACATGAGACCCATCAACGCCAAACGTGAGTTTCACACTCTTGCAGGTTCTTGACTTGCAAAACTCATTGCTTAGCCATACGTGACCAGCCTAGGAGCATTCCTTTTGGTTGTATGTGACAGCCCTTGTGTTGTCCCCAAAAAGCTTAGTTGCAAGTGGAAGTTTGTATACAGAAAGCTGTGTTTTATTCCATAGGATTGAATGATACATATAGGCAGAAGAGTGATTTAGCATATCGCATGAAATCCTCCAGAATTAATGAGGAAGTGAAAAAAGAAAGAAATATATTCTGTAATCCCTAAATTAGTGCCTAAGAAATGTGTCTAACGGGTAGAAAATCAGAGTACATGGCTGTGTTTGATTCTAGGTTAAAAGTGAATGGGCCTCCCCCTATGGCCCATTTCCAACACTCTCCCTCAAGCTGGGGAATAGATGTTAATTATTCCCAGCTTGCTAGTCGACTTGTCAAACTTGTTCTTGACCAGTGGTTTGGTCATTACATCCACAATCTGTCTTCCAGAGGGAATTTAGGTTAGATCGATGACTTTAGCTTCAATCTTTTCCTTGATGAAATGGCGGTCAATTTCAACATTTTGTTCGGTCATGTTGGACAGCATTGTTTGCAATCTTGAGTGCAGCCATATTATCACACCACATCTTGATTGGTGTATTTATTTCTATGCCGAGTTCTCTTAACACATGTACTACCCATATTAACCCTGCCTGCATGTGCAATCTCGTAAAAGTACTCAGGCACATGACTTTCCTTCTCAAATATTAGCTTATTGCTTGTGTAGTTTTACTTTAATTCAATTATTTAGAGTTCCTGAGACAAAATTACGGAAGTTGATGGGTGGAGTTTTACAAGCATTCTACACTAGATAGTTATAGGTCTTTGTCATCTCACAAACCTTTGCCTGCTAACTAACCAAATGTGATGTGCTGGCTTACTTATAGCGTATTTTGATCCATTTTGACTGTCATGTTGTGAAGAACAAAGGACATGGCTGTACCTAGTAAATTTCTATTTGCTTTTACTTTTAAGTTTCAACTCTCTGTTTACTATTGTCCTGGGCTAGCTTGGTACACATCCTTTGCATGTATTTAAATGTCCTGGTGGTAAAAGGCAAATATGCCGCATAGATATGTCAAAGCCTGAAATCCTCTAATTCTTTTCTCTGTCACGTTGAGAAAAAGTTGTCATTTATTTATTCTGCTAATTTTTTTCCCTAGGTTGACTTGGTTCATTTTCTGAACCTTACAGCTTCATTCCCCAGGTGTTTTGGCTATGGGAAGCAGCATGAAAGGAGAGAATTCATATTCACATCACTTAGACCCAGATGTATGTATCCATTTTCTAGTATTAACCATCTGCTGCAGTCATTCCTGTTGTTAATGGCATTTAGATTCTAGACATAGGCATCAAAACTGCTGTGGCATCCTCCCCAATAATAAATAATTTGAGGAATTGTATTAAAAGAATTTTTTAAAAAATCATGATGACACAATTTTCAAGCAGTGTCATTACTTTACTAAGTATATTAAAATCACTCATGGGCCTTAACTCCGATTTCTGAGTTGAATTGGTACTTGAAATGGTATCCAAGTCACGATGAACACGTGATCTGAATTGATCTTTTCTGTTATACATTTTCTTGATTGAAATTTTTAGTTCTAGTCACAAGGAGCTTGTTCTTGTTTTACTCTTAAATCTCATAATATGCTTCCATGTAAGGTGTGTTAGAAATTATAATAAAATATTACGAGTCTTCACTTAAATGCAAGGAAAATTTAAATCTGGAAAACATTCATTTAGAAAGTTTTAAACAGATTAATGACCATATCATAAGCTTCTGAGATGAATTCGTCCTTTATTGTATAAATGTACAGCAACATTCAACCTAAGCACCAATTGACGTAAGTGGGAAAACAAAACTTAAATGTTCTGATGTTATTAGCAAGAGCTAAGAAAACATCTGAGTAAGTATCTAGCAAAGCTAATAAACTGAACGGACTATAGAGGGCGTGAATGAGTGTACAAAAAAAAAAAAAAAAAAAGAAAAAAGATCATTGTGCTAGCAGTCAAGAAACAATGGCAATCATAAGACCAAACAAACGGTAGGCAATGGCAAAAACTCGAGGTCTTGAGCAGTTGGCAAATTTCTCTTCACTTGGCAGTTCTGATAACAATATGTGGGAGAGAAGAGTCTAGAGGAAGATAAAAGGATAGAAGTTACTTGGTTGAGGATTTTGTTCTATGATGGCTAGAATATGGCTACTTTTAATAACGTTGATCCTTGCAATGTTATTGACATGGTTCGTAACTGTGAACATTTGATTCTTGAATTTGGTCTATGATCCGGACAACTAAAATTCACTTCTGTTTTATTTAATACAGGTTGGTGTTTCTGTTGTGGATCGTTTTACATATTATACTCTAGCCTTCTTTGAGAAGCTAAATATGTATGATAATGCCTCCTTGAGCAGGTAGACCATAAGTGTTTTTCGGGAGTGTGAATACATGACTTCTTTTCCTTGTTATGAAGTGTTTCTGTAGCCTCTGTTTAACTTTCCGGTCTTGAATGATCTTGTAATTTTGATGAAAGAAATCTGTTGAGAGATCAACATAGATGAGGATCATTTTGATTTTTCCATCAAACCAATATGGAAAACAATGAGTTTCAATTTCTATGCTACATGGATCATCCAAACTTCCAAATACTGGAAGATGAAACTGAGTTGGGTCTTCCAATTTGTGACATGATATTTAGTTCTATTGATTACTGTTGTCCAAATCAAATATTTGATTTTTAGTGGGGTTTTACATGTCCAAATGGATTTTCCAGGAAAGTTGAATTCTGTTTTCATGGTTTATAATTCTATGGTCTGTGCAAATGAAAACAAAAGTTTAATTAAGGTGATCGACTCTCATGTTGTGATCTTGGTGAATCCGCCTCTCCCCTTCTCTATTATGTTAGTACAGATAATTGGTATGGGTTGCTTAGGAGCATATCAAGAGAATTGTGTTGCAGTAGGTAGAGCATTCCAGCGTCATATTCTTTTGGTAGTTATATTGTTAATTCGGGCATATTTTGTGTTTGTTTTGCAGCCTTTTCAATTCATTTAATCCAAATTTGTTGATGTCAACCGCATATCATAGAATGGACCTATATCAACGTAGTTTGGAGGAGGTAATAATTTTTTGTTCTTAATTTAATGCAGATGAACTTTTTTTTCAATAAATATATTGAAATATTTTTTATGTTGAGGAATTGAGTAACATTATTTGTTGAGGGATTACCTACATAAGTAACAGATGTTTACTCTGCAAATTGCTGCTACCTGGCATTATTTTACATCTCATGGTGCATCATGGGCTGCAAAACATCAAATAATATTGGCTGTGAATATTCTGTGTATAGTTTCCACCTAACACATTTTATTTCTTTAATTTATCTCTACTCAGGGAGTTGTTGAAATCGTCTTATAAGCTATTTTCCTGAAAGAATAATAAAGCAATGAGAATCTTGTATACTTCCGTAGGATATGCGTTGTGGTTACAAGACAGATCTCTTAACAAGATAGACGAGAAAATACTATACGTGACAGAAATCTGCATGCCAATAAACGTTTTTGTGTGTTTATGCTTCTATGTACCAGTTATTGCGTTGATGTGGTGAAAATGAGCATTAATCAGGTCTAATTGGGAAGAATTCTATAAGGATGATTTTGTTTCTCCTTGTTAGGTACCTGTGACCAACTTCTTTGGTTCTGTAATGGAAACATTACATACTGATTCAGCATACAGTTCCCACAGGAGTATAGACGTTGGAGAAGCCAAAATTAAAATTTGCACAGATCAACCAATCTCTGGGAGCGACAGAAGAATTTTGAGAAACATGAATAACAAGGATCAAGTTAGTAGTAACTTAAGCACTAAGGTGACTATCATATGCGCCATTAGGATTGGCACATTATTTCATGCATAGCATTTTTCAAGAGAATGGATTTTCTGTGCAGGAAAATTCACGGCATAGCTTTGGACAACTCTGGAATTCTATTCTCAGCAAGTCGACCACACCTGAAAACGTTGATGCATTTGTGTGCCACTCCCTTCTTTTAATGCTTCCTTTGTTGGTAGTTTCCACATGGCTATCACGCTAAAGGGCTGGAACAACGATTTTGAAGTTGCTTATGCATGCCTTTAATGTTATGGTTGCTGGGTATGCGATTTTCTAGGAAAATGCTTATAACCGATGGTTTCACACTGGGGTTGAATTCAGAGGAAGCTGCCTCATGGTTTCAACCTATTGGTTTGTCATTTTTTGTTGCCCTGTTCATGCTGTGGTGCGACCCTGTTGTTCTGGTTATGCATAGTTCAAATGGTGTTTTTTGTATCTGTTTTTAATTGAAATGGAATTCAATGGACATATGATCAGAAGATTCACTTGAAGCACTTAGAGTTTCAAACTATTATTCCCTTGGGCCCCGATAAGAAGCTAGAACAGCCATGTTGGTTTTGTCTGTTTTTCATTGTAAAATTTGATGTTCACGGTGGGAGCAGGTAAACTTCTATGATCGTACATTTTCTAGTGAAAATTTCTTGATGTGAAGTAAATTTTAGTATGAATTTTAATTACTCCCCCCCCCCCCAAAATTTTTTTTTTTCAGAAGCCTCAATTTGTTTTTCTAACACCGTCTTTATCTTGTCCTCAAATCATTGGTTCGCTTCGGTGAACTTTAAACGTGTAATATGATACGGGGGCAAATTTGGCTTTTTACAGAAATAATTTTAACACAATTTTGCTTTTTGAAATTGCTTTTGGAAAAGAGTACATTATAAGTTCAAAAAGAAAAAGAAAATCAATATCAATATCAATATCATTCTTTAAAATCAAATTATTCTAGATTAATTATGACCAGGCCAAAACCTGTGCTGCTTAGGGTAGAGCAATAGGTAGGTTGGGCAGCTTGTGTCCTAATTTGTAACCGGCCTGTTTAAAATTACATGGGACTTGTGATGAATCTGTTTAAGTTCGTTGTAAATAGGCTAAGAATAAATAGGGGGTTAAATAGGTTATGAGGAACCAAGTAACCAAATCAACTAGTCAACTTTCATCAGGGCATAACAATTTGTCAAAATGTAGCTGATAGATTGAGGAAGATAAAGGAGGATGAAAGAAGACCAAAAAATTTCATAGCAAAAACCACAACCACCTTAGATATAGGCACAATTGCATTGATTCGAATTGAGTGAGTATGAGACTGGCAAGGTAGAGAAATGATGGAGAGCAATGAGCAGAGGGAAGCAAAGTCACAGACATGGAGAGAAGAGGTGATAATGAAATGATGAGAGGTTGATGTGCGCGGTGAAGCCATAAGAGCACTGACTGGTCGTCATTGCTGCCGCCTGGTCAACATTAGGAGTGGCTTAGTAGTGGCGGAGGAAGAGATGGTAATGGTGATGTGAGAGAGGAGAGAAAGAAGAGAGAAGTGGAGGAGGAAAGAAAAGAAAAGCGGCGATGGGTTAAAAGGATTGGAGGGAAAAAAGACGGCAATGGTAGAATGAGGAAGCATGAGGGTTTTTTTCTTCTTCCAAATTTAAATGTTATATGAAAATTGATAAAAAATTTTGAAGTTGCGTGTCACAAGAATCCACAGGCAAAACACTTTTGCCACTAAATCAAGGTTATAACTGTTATATGAGTGTGACAAATAATATATTATAATATACTTTTCATATTAAAAAATGAAAAAAAATATATACGAGCGAGTAAGGGCATTGATTTTACTAGCCTGCCCGTTTAAATTTGCTCGTTTAATATACTTTTTGGGAGATCCAAATGGGTAAAATTTCACATGGTTGTGGGCCAGTATAATGGGCTATGAGTTTTTTGCTCAGTCCTAACACTACTTTTCCATATAAACCTTGTTTTTTTAACGTGAATAAACTTGTATTTAACTAGAGGAAAAATGACTCGTTGGACTCAGACGATATCTGTTTACCTCGGGCACCAGAGCCGTGTAGGGACCTTTTGAGAATGGACAAGGAGAACATCTCTTAAAGTCAAATCTGAGTTGTACTAGGTTTTAGTTTTTTCTTTTCTCTCAAGCCGCTGGCTTGCCGTGTAAAACTAAAAAAAAAAATAGAGGAAAAATGTGAGAATTGTGTAGTTAAATTTTCACTTTCTTATGTTGATGGAGTCTTCAAAATTCTAAAAGGAGAACATTGAATCCTTGTTTGGATGGAGAGAAAATGATGGAGGAAGGAAAACCAGGAAGGGAGAAGTAAATTTTCCTTTGTTTGAATGATCGAAGAAAAAAGGAAAAAAAATTAGGAGAACAATGAGGTGTGAGACTCACTCAATTTTTTCTCCATTTTTCTCTCGCTGATAAATGGAAAGAAAATAGGAACAAAACTGTACTTACCCATTTGCCCTTGTCTTGCCAATAAATCTCGCTGCACAGTTTTTTCCTATTTGGACTTGCCACACAATTTTGAAACAAAGTTGGCTACTACAGTAGTCAGTTCATCCACAACAAATATATGTGTATGTATTTGGTTTTAAAATAAAATTTGGTTTGAATTAAATTTTATCCACCAAAAAAATATAGCTGCACCTATTAGTATTGAAAGTAGCATTTTTTTAGTTAAATCATTTGGCTTTAAAATATAATAATATGGAAATATATTCTCGAAAACTAATTTAAAATTAGTTATAGTTTCTTCTAGTTTTGAATTAGGTTCTTAAGCGCTTTTCTTTTTTATTATGTCCTTTTAGTTTGTCCGGTTATACCACTGTTATATCTGAATTAACAGTGTTAACAATTTTGTTAAAATGTGTTGATGTGGCAAAGAATTGGACTATTTTTACTCTAATAGCTTGGATCTTACTCAGCATTTACGGACAAAAATTTTTTGTCACGTCTTAAGAGAAATTTTTTGACTAGAACGTCTAAAAACAAACTATTATACGATTTATGGACGTTCAATGAGTTATTGACTTGATGTATTTATTTTATCTTTCCTGAATCAATAGATTAAAAAAAATGGATACAGAGAATCACCCGCCGGGAAGCAAAATATTATGTTTAAAAATTAATATAATACTCCTCCAGTCCTAAATATAAGACCCTTTTCGTAGTATAAATTACACTACAAAAGGGGTCTTATATTTAGGACCGGAAGAGTATATCAAAATGATTAAGAAGCATGAAATCAATTTTTTTTTTAAAAACTATATTCTCCCCAATTCTTCATCATCTACGAGGCATATCTGCAAATCAAATGGTTGCACAATAAACCGGAAGCTTTGTGAATCTTTGAACCATGCCTTTAAAGGTTGAAGGTTGATAGTTATGATGACCTAGAAGCTTCAAATCCGCATTGAAGGAGCAATGATTGACCAATCTCAATTATCTCCCTTTTTCTTCCTTCTACAAGTAGAAGTGGGAATACTGGCTGGTCTTGAAGCTTCAAATAGACATTGAAGGAGTAATGATTGACCACCCTCAATTCTCTCCCTTCTCTCTTCCTTCTACAACTAGAAGTGGGAATACTTGTAGGTCTAGCCTTATAGGGCCGGCTCTGTAAGGCTGAAATCAATATATCTATTAATACTCTTCCACTAAAACCACGACTCAGATGGCTTATATTTTAGCTTAAAACTCATTTTACTATTCATAAGAGATATCTGGCTTCATAATAATTTTATTGGGCTTTGTGTCATGCGGCTCTCAAATGGGGCTACGTGTTGTGGATACAACTTGAAAATTTGAATTTGAATTTTGAGCCGTATCTGATTTCTCAGTCTCAATATTCAACATTAAGGCCCTGTTTGGATGACATAGCAAACCATGGTTTGGAAGGTTTGAAAATTTTGCCTACCTATTTGGATGACATTTTGTGCAAACCATTTGCACAAAATGTCATCCAAACAGGTAGGCAAAATTTTCAAACCGTGGTCCAGGAGAAACCATGGTTTTATTAGAAGCAGAAAATAGTCACTTTTGCATAGAAAAATTTGCAACAAGTCGGGTGATAATTGAAGGCAACAGTCATTGACCAAAAATACCCTTCTTCCTTCGCTTCGCTGGCCGACACTTTGGAGTGATTATTCTCTCTTCACCCAGCTCAAATCTGCAATTCAGCTCGACTCTTCACCCTTTCTTCATCAGCTTGCCTCTTCATCCTTTTTTCATCAAAAATTTACTCAGCTCGGCTCTTCGCCCTTCCTTCGTCGTTGCTGCTCTGAATTTCTACACTGATGAGATCATCCTAGGCTCGCGAAAATAGGGGCTGGTTGTGTGTTTCTCGGCTCGCCAAAACTATATCAAGCGTTGGGTCATCCGATCCATCCATCCTCGATTTCCAATCTTCGTTGTTCAGTTCGTCCGGTCAGGTCGCTGTGTCTAGTTCGGTTGGTCAGATCTTGCACTTAGGTTAGCTCTCTCTTGTGATATTAAAAATTTTGTTCACTCATGCATTTTCTCCATTCACAACCATCATCAATCTATCATCTGAATTGTAGCTCCCTGCTTGTGGTTGTGGCTCACTCCCTCCTCTTCATATCTTCATTGCAGCATTGAGTCATTAGTGATGAATGCGTTGGCTGTTTTTTTAGAAATGTGGCGTTGTTGAAAATTTGTTTTGGCTTTAGTATTTTCACTGTCATATGTTGATTTGGAATGATTTGGCTGTAGTGTTCTACTATCCTCTTCGAATTGTAGCTCGGTTTCCTGGTTGTGGATCTGTTTGTTTTGCAAACTTCCTCCCACTTTTGTTTTTGAATTTGTTCAACTAGCTTTTTCCAAAACTGACCGGCATGTTGTTCGAAGGAATGAGATCATTATTGCTTGCTTTGGTTTCATAGTAGCCTGATTTTATGAAACAAGATCTGGTTCTGGAGGCAAGGGATGTATCTGGTGATATTGTTTTGGAGACGAGAAAGCTTGCGAATTGAATTCTACTTATATAAATTCAATGCAAGTTCTTTTTCCTCTTGTTGCTTGGCGTGGGATTCCTTTTTTTTGTCTAGATTCCCCCCAGAGAAGAAGCCTGTGAAGTCGAACTGTGTATTGGGACTTTTTTTTTTGTTTCTTGGATAGTACTTCAAGTTTATGATTAGTTAAATTAATTAACATTATTTGTCAAGAGTTGATCTGATTTGGGATGAGATAAGAAATGCGTTGTCCTGTACTATTGTATTAAGGACTTTGATAGATTTATGGCCAACTTTTGAGAGTGAGGAGAAATGGAATCACAACTCAAATCCATGTATATATTGAAGGAAGTGATTTGTATTTTGGTCAAAGGTTTATGTTGCTAGTTTTTTCTATTTTCGGTTGACAAATCCGATAAGAATATAATTTTAAAAAATATTATGAAAGGCTTGTGCAACATGTTATTTCTTTAAAACAATTATATGCTTTATAATATTATTGCGTTCATCATGAACATTTGTATTAATTACGCACATGAACGAATTTTTTTTCAAATGTATTCGTAATACACAATTATTTCAAAGGTTAAGTACAATATGATTTATGGTGCATGATGGTTCAAATATGGTTTTTCTTATTATTTTGTCTTCCAATTGTCTTTCTACAACAGTTAAGAAAAAGGAAAAGTATATATAATTATTTAGTTAGTTTTGATGTTTTAAAAGTTAGTATTTTGAAGCAAAATAGATAATGAAGTTTAGAATAGGAGGGGGTGTATTTTTTCCGGCCATTTAAAATTAGAATTTTCTTGTGTTTGTTAATTTTTGTCGCGCTTGGTTTGGTAGAAAGGAATTGAGATTTAAGATGTGGTCAACTTTTTCACCTATTATAGTAAACAATATGATTTTCGTTATTTCATATAATTTTGGGTTGATTAACTTGTGATGACTAAAGAGCTGTAATTGTGCTATAGCATAATGGGTAAGGATACGGTGAAAGCTTCCTGGGATCTAAGAACTACAAAAGTGTTTATTAACCTGTGCATTGAACTTGTGCAACAAGGAGAAAGAAAAGGTACAAGCTTAACAAAGAAAGCTTGAGATATTCTTGGTGATAAGTTTACTACCAAAACTAAAAGAGTGTACGCAAAACCTCAATTTAAGAACAAATATGATTCCCTGCGAAAGGAGTGGCAGACATAGGATAGGCTGCTTCATGAGACAGGTTTGGGATGGGATACTGAAAGGAATACTGTCAGTGCAACTGATGATTGGTGGGAGAAGAAAATAATGGTAATTATTGAACCTTTTGATCTTACATTTTCTTTGCCTGTTAATTTTTTTGGTATATTTACTGTGTTTTGAATATTTTATGATATTATTAGTATCAAATGTACAGGAAGTTCCAAACTACGAAAAACTCAAAGAAAGAGGACTTCACTTTAGGGATCAATTAACTCAATTGTTCGGGAGTGTGGCTGCAACTGAACCACAAACATGGGCACCTTCTTCCATGACACTTCCAAGTGAAGGAACACCCAATGAAGATTTGGAAGAAGGGTCCGGAGATAGTGATGAAATTTTAGGTGCGCCAACTGGTATAATTAGGGAATTTAACTCAGTAAACTTCAATGACAATAGTGGAGGTAGTGGGGGCAACACTGAATTGAGGCAGGATAACAATGGTTGGGGTACAAGCAGAGGTGGGAGTCGACCTAGTAGCTCACTAGGGGTCAGAAGGAAGAGTGAAGTCATCAAGAAACGCACATCTCCCTCTATGAAAATAGCGGATGCACTTAGCAAGATTGCTGAAACAAATATTTCTGAGGCTGAGCATAGAAATGAGGTCATTTCACGAGTAGAAGCTAGAAGGTTGGAAGAAGAAGTGCGTGCTTATGAGATTTCAATTAGGGGAGTCCTGTCTCACCTCAAAACAATTCCTAAAGTTGTTAGTGATCCTGATTTCTTTAGACGGTGCCCATAACTCCTCATGGAACGGCCAGAGGCACAGGAAATGTATGTAGCTCTGAAGGATCAAAAGGAACAACTTCTCCCCATTTTGGAGCATTACACTAGGGATTTATGACTTGTTTATTATATTAGATAGTTCCTTATGTGTATCGTTTTATATGACTAGTGGATTGTTGTATGAATCAGACAACTCTGTAACTTTTATAAATGTTTCGTAATTTCTATGTAAGGATTCTAAACTTTATGTGTATGTGCACATGATAAAACGAATATGGATGCTGAAATTAAACTTGTTGAAGAGCATGCTAAGGGATGAAAAAAAAAAGGTTAACAAAGTTGCAACATTGGTCAGTGCATACGCTACTTTGAACTTGTGTAAAGAGCTTCGGTATACAAGTGCTTATACAGGCAGCTTATGGGTAAGGGACATTTTAGATGGCAATCCCAGTCATTGTTATAACATATTTAAGATGGAACAAGGTGTGTTCTTAAGTCTGGTAGAACAATTGCAACAGCATGGTCTAAAAGAAACTAAACATATAGGGATACATGAATCCGTTGCAATGTTTTTACATATCATCCACTAAGTAGCAGAATGCAACAAGAAAGATTTCAACATTCAGGGGAGACAATTAGTAGACATTTTCATAATGTCTTAATGGCATGCTGTCGACTTGACATGTCTAATATCAAATCGAAGGATCCAACATTTCGGCATGTTCATACAAAAATTCGGTTTGGTAAATACTGGCCTTTTTTTAAACATGCTATTAGAGCAATTGATAGGACACATGTTTCCTACGTTGTCAGTGCAACAGATCAAACTAAATTTATTTATTTCCTTTTATCATAGATTGTAATATGTAGTTACAAGAAAACCTATTACAAATGCTCTGTATCGATGTATCATCTTAATTATTATGACACTTCTTTATTTATATTCCTTTTATTAATATTATACCTTATATTCTCACACCAATTAGTACTTACTTTAATAATTAACAAATTGTTTTAAGGCATGTTTATTCAATTTTATCAAACAATATCATCCTATTTCTTGTTTATAATCTTCATGAAAATACATAATTTTCTGTTTACAACAATATAATTCACCTTCTCCAAAAATATTTTTACTCTTATATTTCATGAATATATATATACATGTGGTGACAATTAATTAATTAATTATATTAAACATCAGAGGTAGTATGTTATTACAAAAACTAGTTGTGAAAAAATATTATGGGATTTCATATTTAAAATCTTTAAAGAAAATTAATATTTTTCTGTTAGCAAAAAAGATTCATTTTTCTATAAACATTTAATATTATGTTTTATAAATATATATACACATATTAATTATTTATTAATTATATTATCTTATATATTATTACTTATGTTAGTAAAAATTATTTCATTAACAATTTTATTTCTTCAAATCAAAATATATTATAAAATCTATTCTTTATATAATTATCATATTAACTTATATCCTTTTTGGTAATTTCTACGTGTAAAAAGTACTTGTTGTAATAACTATCCAAACACTCTCACTTCTCAGAATCACTTCTTCACAAAATCTATTCTGTTCGGAATCTATTCTCCAAACCATAGTTTGGTTTCATCCAAACACCCTTAAAGTCCCTTATCCTTTATCCCGTTTCTCAGCCTTCACTGTAAAAATCTCTTCTTCCACCCCGACTCTTTGTCATGGGTTCCTTCATCTTCTTCAATGTCCCTCCTCTTCGGTGATGAATCAATCTTCTTCATCTTCACAGCCTCCTTTATTTACAAGTTGCGGCGACGGGAAGGGAGTGATGAAAGGAAGAACTTGCACAAACATTCTTCCTTTTCTCGTCATCACAGTAAAAGCTTCTTCTTCTGCCCCCGGCTCTCCGTCATCGGTTCATTCATCTTTTTCAGTGGCCTTCGTCTTCGACGATGAATCAGTCTTTTTCATTTTCATAGCCTCCTTTTTTTTGCAGGTCGCGGCGATTGGAAGGGAGTGTCAGGGGCGAAAAACTTCACAAATATTCTTCCTTTTCTCGTCATCGATGCGAAAGCGCGAGTTTATTGGTCAACTCCTCATTTCATTGTTCCTACCTCTTGTCTTCTACTCTATATGTGTCGGTATGTTCGAATATTCTCCTTTCTTCTACTGAAATGTTTAGTAATGTTCAAGCTTCTTCCTTTTCCCTTGTGTGTGGCATGATACTTGGCTAGCGCTGCCCTTTTTTCAAAAGAAACTTATATATTTTTTCTTTTCCATATCTGCAGAGCATACACTTGGTTTTTGTTCTGCTGACTGTTGGGGCTTTCTCTTAGACGATGTCGTAGCAATGATTCATTTCTAGAAGCATAGTGATTATCTGGCCACTGGAGACTAAGGAGGGTGTCCTGTGATAATTTAAAGAGATAATAGCGACATCGTGAGTACTTATTTTTTTCCCTTTCAGATTTCATTTTCATTTATTCGTGATCTTATATTGGAATCCAAGTGACCATTTGACTCCTGTCGTTCGTGTAAATATTGCACTAGAGCTAAAACTTTAGATGTGCTCATCACAATGCGTCTGATTGTGATATTCCGTGTCCTTTTCTATTTATTGAATCCTTTTCTACTAATTGAAGCTGAAACATTTGACCATGGTATATTGCATAAGTTTTTCTTATGAAGTATTATATGCTTCTTTGAGCTTCAATTATGGTAAACAGACTTTTGCAAACTTAGTTCAGCCAGTTGCTTCTATTCTTTCCTTTTTTTCTTTTATATGATGGGAATAAGAATATAGCGCTAATTAATAGCCCTACTTTTTAAGTTGAACCTGTCCTTGACAAGATACCAAAGCACATCTAAGATCCAGTAGTCAAAAGTTGAATACCGTCTATCTCCAATTCTCTTAATTACAATTTATTTGCAACCCCAAGGCATGGTTGGTTTGTGTTTTGTCCACATTTCAAGCTTTAAATGCTTTTGTCTGAGGGAGTGTGCTAGATATTATAGCAAAATTTGTTCATGGCCCTTGGTTATTTCCATCCTTGATTTAATCAATATCATCACCACTAGCCTTATATCCAATTTAACGCCTTCTCTTTTTTTATTGCCATGGCCACGTATTCAAATGCATATTGCCTGTTTCATGTGTGAGTGAATTCATGAATCAACATATTTGATATTCTGTTTTTACCTCTCTTAATTTTTCCCCTAAAAAATTATGTTTACTCTATACAGCACAGCAGTCAGATTTTAAGTTTGGCTCTTTGAGTTGTTTGTCCATGTGAACTATCATTATTTACCAACCATATTATAGATGTTTTTACATTTGTTTTCTCGCACCTAAGAATTCTCTACTTTCCCTATGAATTGCTTTCTGAAGTGGCAGCTGGTAAAAAACAAAATTGTTGATTTTGACTCTGTTTGCAAAGTTATCTTATTTGTTATCCTATTTTGTTTCTTAAAAAATATTTCATGACATGGCAGGGGTTCCTCAGAAGTTACTGTTGATGCAGTGCCTGGATTAACTTAGCTTATGCATATGTGCGTGATGAGATAGAATTGTGGGTGTGCATTCTTTTAGTAAATGACTAGACGAAGGTAAGTTACCTCTGCAGCTATCAAGAAGCAATTGAGGATATTACCAAAAGGATGGGAGCTGGAATGGCCAAATTTATTTGCAAAGAGGTTCACCATGCATCTCTTTTGTTCTCCATATAGATTCTAGATATTTCATAGATATGCTAGCTTAGTTCCACTTGATTAATTCATCTCTTTGACAGGTAGGATATTATATTCATTTTACTATTCCCTTAAACCTGGCTAGAAGGATAAATATTAGTGTTTAGATTTAGAGGAGATTATTTTTTCCCAAAATTTTTTAGTTATCCCATCCCCGCTCATTTTGCTATTACCTCAGTTCACTGTGTCAACAGCTTCCTGGCTTTTCTCTTTTGCATACTTGCAGACTGCAATTCAAGTCCTCCTTTTCCTTTGTCAAATTTAACATCTCAGTTTCCGCCATGTCTTAAGGACATTGATCTTACTTCCGTTATTCTCCCATAACTGGCTCCCCTTGCATTTCCTGATGGTGTCCACTTCTGTTCTTTTCCTTAGCCTCTTTGCCTATATTTATTGTTGTGTGTTAAAGGATATTGTGACCATGGGTTGGGAAATCTCTGGTGAAATGCATGAGATCAAGTGAGGAAGAAATTGAGTGATCTTTTTTTTTTTTTTTTGTGATCAACAATCGCAATGTTAGTGGCGTATGAAAATCTTAGACTTGGTAATATGTAGAAAGTATTCTTTGCTGTCATTAATTAAAGTTTAATATTTTGTCTCTTTAATTTTAAATAATTTTTGGATGCACGCCTGGGTTAAGTGTTGTATATTGTTTTTAATATTGTAAAGTTTGATATTTGATGAATTAAAATCAAGGAATTTAAATGTTGAAGTCAAATTGTTATGTTAAGTCGTCTTAAAAAACTCTTTTTGGTGGAAATTTGAAACCTTTAAGGGAAAGAATTATGATGGCAAGATGAGGTTGTGTGGGATTTAATGTGGGCTGAAAAAGGTTATCTGCATTTTTAGTAAATCACTAAAGTTTATATATATATATATATATATATATATCATTTCTTCAACTTTGTGTTGATTGATTATATGTGATATATACTTCGACAAAGATTTTTTTTTTTTTGCAATTTTTTGATTATTGATATCTATTTTTATTTTGAAAATATAGATCTCTGTGATTATTTTTGCAAGATTTGAAATTTGAATCATATTTGTTATGGGGATGGAAATATCGCCTTAAATGCTGTCTTAAAATTAGTATTTTTGATAGTTCATAGTGAACAAATAAATAGGGGATTTGTGATGGTGAAGGTTAAAAATAATATACTAAATCAATCAAATGAAGATAATCAATGTTATGTAAGACAAAGCATGTAAGAAGAGATTAATTTCTTGTTGAAATGAATTAATGAAATGTTTTTAGCCTAAAATAATTTTTTTTGGCTTGAAGCCGATAAATTAATTTCTTAAATAAAATTAAAATAAAAGAAATTTAGATTAACCATCTTTCCGTGCATCGTGCTGGGAAGTGAATTCTAGTTTTAAAAATATCTCAATTTGTTAGGCTCGGCTCTTAAGTTGACGGGTTTAGTGTCGGCCTGCGGGCTTTTGGCTTGTTTAAAGGGAAAAAAAATTATTTTTCATATTTCTCATATTTTTTATCAAAAGAATGAAAATAAATCAATAAAATTATTATTTAAAGATATAAATATGAATAAAATTAAGTTCCAAATATAAAGTATCATCATATATAAATATTTATCAACATCCAAAAAATCTAAAACATCCATCGACAAGAAGACAACATCCAAAAGTTTCATCAATAATACAAATGTTTAATAGACAAGCATTATTATTAATTTTTTGAAATTTCATCATTACTATAATTAATTTATCTTTTTCATGAGTATGCTCTTCTTTCGTACCAAAATAAGTTTTTCTTCCTTAATTTTGCTTTTCAATTTTATAGTCTAGCTATTATTTTACTTTATTTTGACAAGTATTGTTATTAAAAATTATAAATTTCTAGTTCAAAATGCAGAATTACAAGTTATATAATTATAAAAATACTCTTTTATCAAATATATATAGTTTAAAAATATTAACACATATAACATAAATAGAATCATTATTAAAGTCCAAATTAACCTATTTTTAAAAATTTAACTAGACAAATTATTATTTAAAACCAAATAAATCAAACTATTCTATAAAATTTAATTTTAAAGTGATAATAATAACTAAATATTCGAAATATCACCAAAAAATTTAAAAAAATCAAAAAAATTATAAAAAGGCCTAAACGAGCTTGCTTGCTTATGCCCTTGGCTTTACAGGGCTAATCTTTTTAAACTTATTTCTCATTTGAAGGGAAAAATTCTAAGCCTTGTCCCCACTATTTTCAAGCCTAAATAGGCAGTCCGATGGGCTCTCCCATTTTCTCGGCTTTATCTATAAGCTCACACCACCATTACCTCTCCCTCCCTCCCTTTCTCTCTCACTCCCCCGTCTTTCTTTTGCGAGCTCACTTGCAATAGCATAATGGTTCCAAATTGTCACATCCCCAATTTTGGGTCTAAAAGTACCAGAATTAGCCTCAAATGGGTAGGCTACCAGACTTTTTTTAACAGCAGTCTTAGAGCTTCCCTGGAAGGACAGAGGGATTTACATGGACTAAGCCTTGTCCCTACAATTTTCAAGCCTAAACAAGCGGTCTGACGGGCTCCCCCATTTTCTCGGCTTTATCTATAAGCTCACACCACCATTACCTCTCCCTCCCTCCCTTTCTCTCTCACTCCCTCGTATTTCTTTTGCGAGCTCACTTGCAATAGCATAATGGTTCCAAATTGTCACATCCCCAATTTTGGGTCTAAAAGTACCAGAATTAGTCTCAAATGAGCAGGCTACCAGACTTTTTTTAGCAGCGGTCTTAGAGGTTCCCTGGAAGGACAAAGGGATTCACATGGACTAAATCACAAAAGGAAATTTTTTAGGACTGAGAAAAGAGAAAGTTAGAGACTCAAATGAAGTCTTAAGGCCCAAGAATGAGAAATAGAAATGAATATAGGCCAAAAGTTATGCTGGAAGCCTCAATAAGGTGAATTACATGGTTAAGCCAAACCAGGGACAAATCATAATTTTGTAAAGTTTTGGGCTGTAAGGGCAAAAGTGGCAATTACGCCAAAAATTCTAGAAAAATATTGAAAAATAGGAAATGGAGTGTTAAGGCCTGTGTGTGAAGTTCAAGGACCCAATATAAGGAGTTAAAGTAATTAAGGGCCAAAGGTTATGCTAAGAATCTTAGTAAGATGATTCTTGAGGTTAAACCTTAGTAAAGACTTAAAATACAAATTTGGAAAGTTTCAGGTCCAAAAAGGGTAGTGATGAAAAGTAGGCATAAATACTTTAAAAAAATTCCAAAAAATTTAGAATGAGGTCTAGAGGCCCATATAAAGTTAAAGATAATGAAAATACCCCCAGAAGGAATTGTGGAATTTCTAGGGTT